TAATCACTAAATTGTACAGTAATAAATTTCTAGAGTTTTCATAAAATTAGTGTGGGGGAGGGGAATAAATATATATAAAAAACTTTTTTTGCCATGACTTTCAAAAAAAGGAAAACACAATTTCCATCATTTGTGAATAGTTTCTGAAAGTTTCATTAAAATTGAACTATTTTTTTGCAAGATTTTCCAAATTAATGTCTGTCATAAAAAATGTGCTAAAATTGTCTATGTTATTTAGTATTTCTGCTGACACAAAGAGAAACTTTTTTTTTAAAAAAAAATCAAAAGTTAGAATGTTCTAAAAAGGAAAAATTTTGAAAAATAATTAAAAACTACTTTGTTCTTAATAGTAAACATTTTGATGATAAAATTTTCTTTTTGTCAAGTTTGGTTTTTTTTTCATCATACTATGCACATTTTTTTTTTTTTAGTGATCTCATGAAGGATCATATATATATATATATATATATATATATATATATATATAAAATATACATGATATACACATAATATGTGTGTGTGTGATATATATTTTTCTGTTAACTTTACATCTGATTAACTTACCCTGCCACTACAACAGATAGCTACAATACTGATACATTTGTCGCTGCCGTATTCTCCACAATCATCAGCTATGCCATGTGTATGTGCCATTTATCAGGACATGAAAAATTAACTCATCCACCTCATTTTTCTATTTAGCTTAATTCTGATATTTAATTGGTTAATCGAGACATACCTACAAGTATACATTTAATTCTGTCCTTAAGCTCCACCCCTTTAAATTTCAGAAAAGAGGTAACAATTTGTTTTTATTTCATAAAAAATCATTTTATCACTAGTTACCAACCATCACCAGAGGAATTACAATCATAGCATTGAAACATGAAAGCTTTTGTGTAGCGATTTACAATGTTTTTATTATAATCTCTTATAATAAAAATATAATATTTTGCTGTATTTTGTACTGAGCGTTTTTTTTTTTTTTACAAGTAAATGCTACAAACTGGATTTTTACTCCATTTGCTTTTTCTCTCATTTGGATATTATATATATATATATATATATAAATAAAAAGAAAGAACAGTAAGATATATAATCCAGTGTTCTTATAGATATTTTTATTTTTACAAAATAGTGCTCAATGTAAATTTAAAGAGCATTAATATTATAAATCAATTGATTTAAAATATGTTTTTTCCGCTACACAGTTCTAACCATGTTTCAAAAACGGAAGCTAAAAACCCTGAATTTAATTTTCTAATTAAATTAAAGAAATTAGTTCCATTTCCTCCTCAAGCGAATTTTGGAGTAACTTTTAAAATTACTGAGTTTTAAAGACACAGCTAAAATCATAATTCATGTTTCCAAGGTTACAGATGAATCCATTTTACTAGACGAGAGGTGTCTGGGTGTTCAATATGTCTATATTTTAATGTATCAGTTATTGCTAGGTTTTGGTAGTGGCTAGGGATGTATTTTTCAATAAAATCTAACATCCGTTAAAAGCGTGTCGTCTGGATTTTTAAAAATTTTTTATTGTTAACGGCAAAAATTCTTATGGCATTTTTTCCTTTGTATATTTAAAGATTTTTAGGGAGGGGGTGTTTAGGTTAGAATACTTTTTATTTAACTACGATTTGAAATATTTTTACTTTTAATTTTTAATATATTATATTTCTTTTAAGAACAATTAAATGTAATGAGAATCCCTTACAGTTTGTAGAATTATTATCACATCAAGTATATTACGATTTTTAAATTTTTTATATTTAAATATTATTGAAGTAAAATTTTTTTGCACTTACGGCAAAAAAGCTAATTCATTTCTCTGATTTAGTAAACTTTATTTAATTACAACTTAAAAGAAGTTTAGGTTAGAATTCATTTTAATTAACTACAATTTTAATTACAACTTTAAAATATTTTCATAGACTATATTTCATTTAATAGAAGGAAATGTATTAGAATTACTTACTGTAAGTAAAATTATTTTTCCATATCAAATATATCTCTATTACAATTTTTAACAAAAACAAAAACAATTTTTATTGTTTTGAACCACTTAAATTGACAAAAAAAAGTTTTCTAAATTAAATTCTTACATTTAAAACAAAAACAGTAATTACACTTAATCACAGTTCAATTAAGAAACTATATTTTTTGAGAATTATAACAGAACAAGTTGTCTTGTTTTTGTAAATTACATTAATATAGGTACCTCCACTATTTTGGCATAAATTTTTGATATCTAAAGTTTAAAATGAATTTTTAAAAATGAAAAAACATTCTTAAAGATTTTAATTGAAAGCTAAATGATTAAATTTATTACTTCCAGTAAGTTAAATATTCTGGTATATTTCAGATAGAAATTATATAGAGTGGAATGTCAAATTTAATTTTGATTTCTTAAAATTTTTCTTAAAAAGCAGCCATTTTCTTAATTTTAAGAAATTTGTAAACAAAAAAATTATCGATTTTAAAATTCTTTAAAAAAAAAAAAAAATACACATATTACTGACATGTTATTTGATTAAAATTAAAAAATTTAAACTTACATATTACTTATAGCATAAAAAATTAATATACAACCATTTATTTAATGATTGGTCAAGTTTATCAGAGCTTATCTAAGGCAATAATGGATGGCTGATGAGTAATAAAGCAATGACAGCTAATATGGGTGGCTAGAGTTGATACAAAATTTAAGAAATCTAAGTGAATTAATTATTTTGGTTCTTAACTACTTAGTAATTTTTTTTACAAATGAACATATTTTCCTCAATTATCTAATAATTTATTCATTTTTATGCAAAAATAAAAAAATTTAAAATACTATAAAATTTTCTTAAATTAATTTCTCTGTAAAGAGACAAAACTTAGATTATGTGACCATTTCATAATAATGTCATGTTTAGACATTCATAGATGAAAATATTGAACAAATTAAGTAAAAAAAAAAACAAAATTTTTTCAAAAATAGAATAGCATAACTATGTTTATTAATCTTTTCAATTTTGTATTCATAAATTTCGTTTCCACTTAATTACTATATCACATCCAGGAAACAGCCCAATACAGAATTTTTACACGATTTTAAACTATTATAAATTATTGTGATTAAAGAAAAAAAAAAAGAAAAAATTCATGTAAAAAGTCAATGTTTGTATTATTATGCCACTGCGATGACAGAAACAAAACTACACACACACAATATGCACACACACACGTATATATAACACACACACATAAAAACGTTATATAAACATATACACACATGCATATATAATATATATATATATATACACCCACACCATAATTCCCCATATATAATACTCCTTCATCCATAATATGCACCCCTAAAATTGTCCTGAAAGTTTGGGAAAATATTTCTACTGAAGCATAATATGCACCCCTATAAATTGTACCTATCCAATTTCATTACGGTCAGCATTTCCTACTATTAAAAAAAAAAATTTTTTAAAGATAGAATATTATTAATTTAGTTTTATGATAGTTCTTATTTTATTTTACATTTGTGAGTATTGTTAGACACGTGATTGTATTTGAAATCCTTATGGGGTCCCAGTCGCCAAATGTAAGTGTCAAATTGACATGTTTGTGGTGAGTAGTCATTTCACAACTGAAATCAACCTATGGACCCCCTGATTTTGCTTATTATTTTTTAGAAAAAAAAATGGGTATTATACATGGGGTATTACAGTATGTAATATATCTCTTTAAAAGATAAGATTGCTGACCAGACCATTACCACGGTTTCAACCACCAAGGTCTTGTCAGGTGTTTTTTGTTCAGCAAAAAAATCAGAGGCAACGGAAGAACTTAAATGCTTTCATTCGACACTGATTAAATCGCTCTGCAATTTTGGTTTTCCTACTTGAAATTGAACACTTTTTAACGTATGATTTAAAAAATTTTTTCAGTGTTTATTTCAGTATATATATATATAAAAAAAACACATGCACAATCTGCATCTCACATTAGCATATTTAATGTTACCTAATTTTAATTTTTAGAAAATTCCTGAAAGGCTTCACAAAATTCTTTAGCGCTATTAATGTGCAAGATATTTGACATATGTATAAATGACATTAGACTAGATGACACAAATTGATGTGGCCACAATTCCATGAAGTTTCACATTGTTATGGCAGATAGCTTTAATCAAGTTGAAGGATGGAATGCATTGCAACACAGTGCATCAATCCTTGTAATGCCTGAGGCTGTATAGGCACAGGCCTGCCAGATTGTCCATATTAACCAATGTCTATTACTGAATGTGTTATAAATTCAAAGTTGCCTGTTTCAATAAATTTCACTTTATTCTGAATAAAGGTGAACAGCAGGACAGGTATTCATTATCCTAGGGATAAGTGATGGCAGCAAGATGCACTGTGGAGAAGAAAAACTGATGGAAGTAGTGTGATGGTTTGGGTAATATTTTGTTAGGAAACACTGGAAACCTATCATTTACATGGAAAGTACCTTATCATCATAATTGAAGAATATGTACACTTCTTCATTATCAGGAGTTTTCTATGATAATAGTGCCATCTTCCAGAAAGGACAATAGACAACACTGCAGGAGTTGTATGGAGATGGCTTCAGGAATTATGAAGATTTCATTGTGTTGCCTTGATCATAAAACTTAATTCTATTGAGCTCCTATGAGATATGTCAAATCAACAAATTCATTCTGCAGAATATCATGTAACTGGCAGCTGTTGAAGAGTTATTTTCTAAGTGTATTCAAGAATCAACAGCTTATTAGGCAGGTGGTTTTGTTTTGTTTCTCCAGTCTGTACTTTTACAAGGATTGTGTAAAGAATGGGGGGTAAGTGTGAAGTTGTCTTATTGATCATTTTGTTTCTGTAAATTAACTGTAATATCTTTACATCAAATGATTTCAGGAATATATCAAATTGTAATGACTGTCAGAAATTAATGCAGTGATATCAGAAGCAGACAAAATATCTTACCCTGGAAGAGCATCATCATCAGGATTAGGGTCATGTGCACTATCAGAATCTTCACTATGTCCATTCAAAGCCTTCAAACACACCATTTCTGTCTTCTTTTGAGATATGTAGGCAAAGAAAGCTGCTCCTTTTCCTTGGGCTTTTCCAAGATATCGAGGCCGCACTCGGATAAACGTCATTTGTTTGCCCCTGAAGAAGCAGAGAAAATAATTTAGTAAAATAAAGTCTGGAAGGAAAAATGAATGAAGTAAAATAACCAAGAAAAAGTAGTTATAAAATAATTCTATTTTGCTTGAGTCAAACGTAACTTCCAAAAACTATTTTCACAATTGGTACTGAAGAAAAATTTTGGGGCTATAATTTAAACATTTTGTTAAAATGCTTATTCAAATTTTGAATGAAAATTTACAATTTTGCGAAGAGTAGAAAAAAATTGTGAATAACAAATTTGGTAAACTAGTGCACAATTGCTAACAGAGCACATTTTTTTTTTATCAGCAATGGTCATGATTGAAAAACTCAGGCACTTACTTGATAGCATTCCTGCTCATGGGGATGGCTGTGGCCTGTACACAGTTGAAGTAGGTTACAAATAAGTAAGGGTCATGGTAAGCTTTTGAAAAAAAAAAAAAAAAAAAAAAAAAATAATACATAAATATTTACTTCATCTAATAATTTTGTAATTTTAATTATACTATCACTATGATGAACTATTCAAATTAAATGCATTTAATCCATGCAAATGTACAATTTTATAAAGATTAGTCATGCTAAGCTCTAAGGATGTCCCATATATATTTCAATGCTAAGCTCTAAGGAGGTCCTTATAGCCTAGTATATGCATGGATTCATTCAGACCTCTAACTCTCCAATGCTCACTTCCTTGACCAGTATTTTCCATATGGATTGATGACTACCTTCCCTTCCCTCCATATATGATTAGCTATACCTATTTTATTGTCTTACCCTTATTATGGCCTTAAATGTCCCTCTAGCCTTACTTTTAAGGTGTGATTAGTTTAATATTTATATTCTTTGCCACAACTGCAAGGAAAGGAGTACACATAGTTCTTAGTCATGTTCTCTTCTGTATTAGGCTTGAGTGGTAGAGACTTCTTCATAGAGTGTAGCTACTTCTAAATATTGTCCTGATGTTGTATAGACTGCTGATCTTTTCTGTGCCAGTTTTAGTACATCCAGGAAGGCTAACTGTTGATTATTTTCTTCCAAAGTGAAATGGATCGAAGGTCTTAGTTCACATGGTCCAGCTGTATTTGTACAGTTTTCTGGTGAGGCCAGAGTATGAAGATGTCACCTACATATCTCAACCATACTTCAGGGGTGCCTTTATTAAAGTCATTTCCTCAAAGTATTCCATGTATATGTTTCACTATTACTGGTGACAAACACATAGCCAAGCCTTCATTCTGTCAGACTCTAGTTGGAAAAATGTTTGCACACACAATATCAACATTGTCATAAGATTATCTATTGAAATGTTAATAAGTTCTCCAAGGGAGGAGTCTGATTCCAGTTATTTCAAACCACTGTCAGTTCCTCATTTGTAGGAACTCTGGTGAACATGCTCAACACATCCAAGCTTACTATCTAATTGCTATGAATCAATTCCACAAGCCTTCTGAGTGCCTAACATGATGAGGACTACCCTACTAGTGGGTTGACTATATCCACTAGGAATCTGCTCAGCAAGTGGCATGCTATGCCCCTGCAGCTGGCTATAGGTCTCAATGGAATACCAAATTCATGAATCTTGGGGAGACCATACCTACATGTCAACTTTAAGGAATGTTGAGTCAGCTCTCTATACTTTTTCATTGTGAAGTAATCCTTGTTCTTATTTAGGATCTGTGACAGCTTCTCATATTTTAGGGTCACATACTTTTTCACCATGTTATAGCTACTATCCTCAATTAGACTTGTCAATTTTTTTTTTTTTTTTTTTTTTTTTTTTTTGAGTATTCCAACTTTGCCACCATAGCATTGCCTTTGTCAGTTGGCAGTATCATGATACTAGTGTCACTCTCTAAGGTCTAGATTACCAAAGCTTGATTTGGGCAGCTTGGTGTTTTCTAGTGCTTGTCTCACTTTCCAGCTTAGCTAATCTGCTTGTGCTATTGGGACAACCTCATCCACCTGAGCTCTCATACCTGATAGAACATGGAAACTGTCTGATGGTAAAGTTAAGATCCTCATTGAGTATAGATTCCTCAGAGGCACTCATCTGCCGATTGCTGATACTGATAACTGCTCTTACCAAGCCTTGTTGCTGCTCTATTTTTTTTCATCTGTTCTAGTTTCTGTATGTAGCAAGCCTTGACCATTTGGAATTCTGGATTGTAGAAATTATCCAGGTCTTGCTGGATTTTGTAGTTGTCTGATTCAAGCATTATTTTCCTAAGTAATATCCTGGTCTCTTTTGAAATTTCACATCCAAACTGATGTTTCCTCAAGCAGTTGTGGAGTATTTTCCCCTCAGGAGGGCATACACTGCTCTTTACACTACTATTTGTGGTCTCTTTGAATTGACCAATGCATTGCATGATAAGCCTAGCTTTAGTCTCTACATCTGTATAGGAATGTTTATGCCAATTTTTGATGGCATTTTTCTGACTGCCTTCATTGGCATATGACATCAGGCCTACAGAGAGTTGCTAATTTCTGGGATGTGAATTATCATTATTTACATACAAACTATTGTCACATTTTGGCCATTGAGTCTTCATTAGGTATAAGCAATTATGATAAAATAACAAAAATATTAAAACAAAAACCATAACTCACTTATTCACTGATCAAATTTGACAAAAATTTTCGCACTGAATTATTACATTCAATTTGCAGAAAATGGAGTAAAAAAAAAAAAAAATGAAGATGCTTTTGTAAAAATCAAAGAAAGGTTTTATAAAATAAAAAAGTAGGGGGTACTGAAACAAGAGAAAATATTTACCAAATGCCAAAGGAAGTCCACTCCATCTCATGTTATTCATACGGCTTCTGCTACCTTTTGAATCAACAAACACACCAAATTCTGAGAAGAACAAGTGAAATTGTTTTTGGTATTAAAAATTAAGATATGTTTATATATTTAATGAAGTCCCAAACTATATATATATATATATATATATATATATATATATATATAAATTATTTCAACGATCATATATATGTACAATGGGCTGGTGTTCCCATGGGTTCAGTTCTGGGCCCAACTTTTAGTAATTTCTATATATCTTGTTTCAAAAATAATATATTTAATAAATTTAAAAAAAAAACCTCCATCTATCTAAGGTATGTAGATGATATCCTTATATTAGTCAAGAATATATCAACTCTAAAAATAATTCTATCCTTAAATTTACATACCAACTTAATAACAGTAATAAAATTCCTTTTCTAGACATATTGATAAACACTAATAAATTCACTATCTCCCCATATAAAAAAACCTACTAGCATAAATTTATGCACTCTTAACTATGAGAGTGAATGTCCAAATTACTATAAAGTAGCAATTATAAAAACCTAATAAACCATACATAAATTAATTCATCCACAAAACAGATTTTCTACAGTAAACTAAAAAATATAAAACTCTTAATAATAACTTCCCTAATTACATCCTAAACATATTACTCTTTTATATTGCAATCAAATACATTCTAGTCATAAACTGGAGGAAAAAAAAAAAATAAAAAAAAAAATAAAAAAAAATAAATACTAATATATCCACCACAGATCCTAGTAAAAAAAAAAAAAAAAAAAAAATAAATTATATATTCTACTAAATTCAATATATCCAATTTAATCATTCATAATGACTCCTCCCCACCAATTGACATGTTGCAGAAAAGCAACAAAATTTAAATGGCTTTTGAGAGATTGAATCTCCAACGGAAAAAAAAAAAAAAAATTGTAGGTCATGCCAAAACTACATTGTCTAGAACAGTGGATCTCAACCTTTTTTTACCCATGGACCCCTTTCCCCTTCTTTTTATCTTGGTGGACCCCTTCATAGCTATTGGACATAAGAACAATTTTCTATTCTCCACTAATATAAATTTTAAGGTTTTAATTATCAAAGAAATAGTATACGATTAAGCTTTATTTTTAAATGAAAACTAATTTAATACAAATAAAATATTCTACTATAATTATAATAATAATTATTATTACTATTTTTAATTAACACAACAATTGAGTTTTGCCTGTGGACCCCCGGAAATATTACATGGACCCCTAGGGGTCCATGTAGACCCCGGTTGAGAACCACTGGTCTAGAAGGTTAAATTTTCATTTGAATGATACATCTAACATCTCTCAAAACATTGCAATTTAGAAAAATTCATCCTAAAAAAATACATCTATATTTTTCATGTAAATAAACATAACCTAAGAATTAACTGAAACTAAAATCTATATATTAAAACATTGAAACCAATCCTTAATAAAATTAATTATGAATACAGCACAAGTGTTTTAAAATGTTTACAGTAGATATTTTAAACTAAGTTATAACTAATAGCTTTAGTTTTTTAAATAACTTAGTTACCTCCCTTGACATTACTGCATATGCATGTTTGCAACATAAAATTTAAAAAGTGCACAGTACATAAATTTGGTGTTTTTCACTTCACAAGTAAAAAATTTAATTTCAAGATGAACATAGCAATTTTTTTTAATAAAATGAATATACGTCAACAGGGTAATTTTCTTTCTTCCTTTAATAAGGAAACTAAGAAACTTGTCTGTAAATATGAGAGGATTCTATTAGGAATAAATAGACAAAACTTGTCTAAATTATTTAATGAGAAATGTCTTAATGAAAGCAGATGCCAAAATATATGCAATATATATAATTGAACAACAAAATTAATGCCAGAATCTTTTTTCAATATGGCAGCTTTTTAACAGTTTACATATTTTGGTTATTGACATTTTGTTTATTAACTAAAAATGATGGCACATACACAGAAAGAAAAAAAAAAAAAGATAATGATTTGACTGACCATTGAAACACAACAGAAACTCCTGTGGTGCTCCTGCAGGAGAAATTTTCAGGACGTCTAATGGGAAGCTTTTATTTTTAGCAGCAAAGTTCAAAGAGACATCCCTGCTGTCAACATAATCTGAAATAAAGTGAAAATGTTGATAAAATATTTTTTTTAATGATATTTGATTATCAGATTTCATTTCTCCAATTAAAACAGTCAAAAGACTTACTAAAGAAATTAAAACAAATCTTCAAAGAAAACTGGAATAACAGATATAGTCTACCATTTTAGAATGCAGTTTACCTTTTAACATTGGATGTTCAAAGTCTATGTACTGAAATCTGTTAGTGCCAATTATAGCAAAACTCTCTGCTATACAAACACAACTGCAGGGTTCAACCAGAGAGGTAAATTCCTGGAAATATCAAAGACAAATTATTGAGTCAAAAATGGATAAATTATTATTATAATAGGAAAAAGAAAATGGTAGAAGAAAAGGAAGTCAAGAATGGAATGGAGAGAAAAGAAAGAAACAAAAATAGTGGATGGAGAAGATAAAAAGAGAGATAGAGAAAGTAAAAGGAAAGGAGGCCAAAAAAATTGAAAGACCAAAAGATTAAGCCTAAGAGAAGAAGAGTTTTCATCTTTACCTTTCTGAGGCAAAATTTATCCAGTCCTTGGTTGTATTTCATGAGAATAATTTTATCAATCATTCCAGCACACAAATAAGCATAATCCTCCCACATTCCTACATCAAAAACAGTGCAACGATTTACTTTGTCAATCACCTCAAATGGAATCGGGTTGGACTGGCTTGATGATTTTTGGAAGAACTTATTCTTAAGGCACTTTTTTTTTATGGTGATCAACATGCGGTTCTCTTCTGCACAAAAATGGACAATAAAACATTGTTTAAAAGACAAAAAAGAAAGATTTATATTAAAAGCATTCAATCATGTAGACTAAAAGAAACTACCTTTGTCATCTCTCTGCATACAAAATACACTAATTCCTCAATTATCTGTACCTCAATTTTTTGAACTTTGATTATCCTTATGTGAAATTAAGAAAAAAAACTGAAATCACTGAATATTTTTTGTGACACTATTTAAAGCTGGTAAATGGAAAGGGTTAATGAATAGAATGATGGAGAGTGCAATTCTCTACAACCAGAGGAATTAATCAAGAAAAGGTGGCAATCTCTTGATAACTGATTAATGACCTGGCCCTAGAAGTACTTGCCATGAAAACAGAAATAAGTGGAATGGATATGATTTGATCTGTAACCAAAACTCAAGGATAAAATTTCCTTGTAGGTGGCATGCAATGACCCTCACAGGGCTGGAAGGAGAGTCATTTGGTCAATGTCTGATTTTGAACAAAAAAAAAGCTGGAATGGGAAATTTTACACAGGCAAAATTTGAAATGATAATTATTTTTGATTAATGTTAAGCCACTCCAAGCAGTCAAGAGCAATTGGTCAAAGAGTAGCCAAGGTGGCGTGCACAGATGAAATACCAAGGAAGATGGAGGAATTACCCACACCCACTGGAAAGTATAAGTGTGAGATGCCAATAAGAGAAGGAAGTTATCGGGGCACATTGATACCCATGACTGCTACCCATAGGAAAGGAGTTCTCCCAATTTGGAAATGTAATTTTCAGGACAGAAAAGGGGTTCTTGTTGGAAGATGGGAGAATTACTAAGTCCAAATCCCCTAACGCACCCTGCACCATTTAGGTGAATGTCAATAAATACATGGAATTGAAGCGGCAAGAAGCAGTTGTTCCAGATGCTGGACAAGAAACGACCTCACCTGACTGACTACCTGCCTAAAGAGAAACTCCAACATCAGCCTTGTTCCAAACTTAACCAGTTGAAGTGACACACTTAACTTAAGCGGGTTGAGTCGATAATTGTCTGCATGAGAAAATGCTAAATTCTAACAAGATTAACCAAGCACTGTATCAAAGAATGTATATAAAAAAACATTTATTTTTTTTTATTTGAGTTATTTGTTTCTTGTGTCTTCATTCTACTTGGGCGAACCCAATGATGATGATGATGATTCCCGATGATGATTTGATCTTTGCCAGCCTTATGACCAAAACTAATCTCAATGTGGGATAAAGCAAAGTTTGGATCAAAGCAATCATTTCATTAATCAGCTGTGGGTGTTGGACATTTGGATGACCAAGACAGAACCTGAAGGTGACATTTCAATTATCCAAATTAAACCCTTTCTAATATTTGATCTCACAAGCATTGAAAATTTAAAAACTATACTCAGTATCTGATAAAATCAATTCAATTCTCCTTTACTTGTTTTCCTACAAAGAACATACATTTGAATTATTGCAGCAGGGTTGCACCAGAGATTATATCTTATGCAATTCTCAAATGCATGTAACACATGTGAACCAGGCTTCAAATGGAAAATGTAATATCTTTTTACTTGCACAATATGTAGTAAAGTCATTCAACACATTTTGGTATGAATTTCAAACACTAAAGCCATCTATTTTAATTCAACTTTAGATGTTAGCAGCAGAAAAACATATGGTCAGCCAAAACATAAAAATTGACAATTTTTCATTAATTAGAAGAAAAAAAAGAAGACAAAACTGAAAAAAAATGTGAAAATGTTATTTGATGATATCAAAAATTCCTTTCAGAAAATTACTTTCCCTTTCATAATTTTTCAATAATTTAAATAATCAATTATTAAAAATTTGGAATTATCTGAACATTTTTCAATGTCTGCTCCAAGGTGTTCAGATAATTGAGGAAATATTGTGCTAAATAAGATGGTCATAACTCAAATTTTTAAACTTTCTAACAACATTAAATTATCTTGTTATTGCTTTAGTCATCAGCTGGTAATCATTATTTTCTTAAATTTCCATATGAGGAAGCAACACATTCTTAGCTATTTCAATGATTTTATTATGTTTGTGATTAAGACATTTATGGTTTTCAAATAGCAAAATATTAATTTTTTAATAAAATTAAAACATCCCACAATCCTCAATCTCAACCCTAATAAGATCATCATATCAAGTTCTTTCTTGGATCTGAATGAATGGAGATGACATTTTATTAACTTGTAGTTTTGGTAGAAGAAAATAAGAATTTACCACATTGCCCTTTCTTCAACTGAATGTATACATTTGATTAAAAACAGTAGTAATAGTTTATCTTCCTAACTAATGTTTGGTTTATTCTTCATTTAGCAGCATTAAGTGATGTGAAAAAGTAACAAAGTGCTGCAAAATTTGTAAAGATAACTCACCAACAAGCAAAACAACAAGTCCTAAAGAAGGCACAAGGGTCATGTCAAAAACACTTCCGACTCCAGCAATCTTTATGGGAGGACTATAGAGAGAATAGGAAGAATTTTGTACTTCTGTTATGAAAAGACCTTCTTCTCCACCAAGCAGTAACAACTGAAAGGAAAATTCAACAAATGGTAGCCATAAAAGAAATAGAATTAAGGGATCATAAGATTACAGAAGCAAAAGAATAAACTTCTAATGGTTATTCTTGTCTTTTGGATATTCTTTGAAATTTATACAAAGATTTTGAATAGGGAAAAATATTTAACATATGTTTCTGTATAAAAATAAAACTGTAAAACTTCATGAAAGAAAATAGATTTGCATCTTTCAACAAATAGCATAGAAAGAATTTTGTATTAGTTACAAAAGAAAATTAACTTAAACATTCAATTCATGAAATGTAAAAGATTTTTTCCAATTAACAATGCAATTACTATTTTGTAATTTATAAATACAATTTCTGCACTCATCAACTTGAGTTATAAACATTCGTTTTAGACAGTAAACAGGCATGTTTTGTCAAATGAGTTAATTACAGGTAAAAATATACCAGAGAGAAGATACATCAAAGTTTACCTGTTTATTAAGAAGCAAAGAACAGTTTAATTCAATTTTGCTCTCATTCTCTAACTGAAGAATAACTGTGTGTAGCAATTTCTGAAAGAGAGAAAAAAAAAAAACCCATTACATTGAAAATGAAGTCGAAATCAAATAATTTCTGCAATTAAGCAGCAGCAAGATGATTAAAAATGCCTGTGTTGCAAGGGGAGAATAATTAGGTTTAAGAAATCTAAGGACATTCTGTTTCTTGTGAATTAATCTCAGATTCATTACATCACAATCAGATCCTGTAGTGAAAGAGATAATCACCTACCTTGAAAAAGAGTTTGTGTTTTGTGTGCAAGCTGCTGAAGAAAAATTACTGAAATTAGTTAGCAAAAATCTACTATAAGTATCAGAACCTATGCTAAGCGTAGGATTTTTCTAAGCTTGGTGGACGAATATAGGTTTTTGCTGGTGAGAAGTGAAGGTTGGATTTGTGACCCCATTTTGTTATTGTGATATTGCCTGTTGGACTGTTATGATGGACTCTTGTTTGAACTGTGAATTGGCTACAAGTGTTGTGGACAAGAGACCGAAGAAACCTATTGCAGGCATTTATTGCTACTTTAAGTTTACAGTTTTTTTACTTTCTTTTCTTTACTAAAACAAGCTATTTTGGCACTTACTTTACCTCTAGCAACATAGCGAAAAGACTGCTCGACATAAAACTGATTCTCAAATTCAGTGGTGATATGAGTGGACAGCCTGTGGTTAAGTGGATCGAGAATGTGGAACTGGTCTGCAAATTATGTGAGATCATTAAGATCGAATGAATTCTTCCACTGCGCTTGAAAGACAGCACCCTTGCTGTGTATAGGCAGCTGAGCAAAGAATAAAAAAGTGACATTGAACAAATAAAGTGTACTCTATTAACTGCATTTGGAATTGACCGGTTTGTGGCCTATGACCAACTCCAGATGCAGTGTCTGCAGCCTGGCGAGACAGTAGACCTATTTTTGGCAGAATTAAAGAAACTCATAATACTGATCACACCACTCATTGAAGAATGGATGACCTGTGCCTTCCTGTCTGGATTGCCTAGCCATGTTAAGCAGATACTTCGTGCATCATCCAGAATGGAAGACATGACACTCAACCAGTTGTTGACCAGAGCCCACGCTATCATGATGGATGAGAAAGAGGCTGATGAACCAATGGCCGCAGATGTTTACCCAGTCAAAGAGGATCCGACCCCAGCCATTTGTTGCCATGGCAATGTCACCTGCTACCGGTGCTCTGGCCCCAAATACTTTTGTTAAAGAATGCCGCTATCAACAAGAAGAAATGCACGGCAAGTTGGCACAAAGGGCACATCCCGATCTACGATGTTTTCAATGTCATAATGGGAAATGGAATGGGGGATGTGACATCAGTACTGGTTTTTCCCTGCACTGAGCATGAAAGAGGTGCTCCCTATGATTAAAGTGCATATCAATGGAATAACGCATACCGCTTTATTAGATTCGGGCTGCTCTTGGTCACTCACTCATGGATTGATTTGCTGGCAGTGGAGCAGACAAAAGATGGACATACATACAAACAGCTGAAGGAAAGGCTCTCAGGAGCTAAGGATTTAGAAACATCAACTCAGTACCAACAATGGTGACCCCCCCATAACAGTCAGTGTGTTGGTCGTGGACAGCATGTTATCAAGTTTTGACCTGCTCCTTAGGATGGACATTATTAAGGAGCTGGGCAGAGTACGCATCACAGAGGCGGGCAAAGTCAAGTTTTCTAGTCTGATCGTCTGTGCTACTTTGAGGATCAACGGGCCTGACTTTAGCGCAGAGTTTGACCAAAGGATAAAGACATGGACAGCACTGTGGAAATGGTCGGAAAATAACCCACCAGAGAAGCTTTAACATGCTTTACTGAAAATGTGAAAGCGCGCTCCCAGACATTCCCAGGCACATGACATGATGCAGTATGTTTTCATTATGTGGGGAAACTGGTGGGACATTTTCCTGTGGGTGGTTGGATCCACATTGCAACTGCCTTCATCAAACATAGGGTGACTGCTGTCACTTCTGGCTGGGATGACAAACAAATGATGCTCTCCTTAGAGACATGACAAAGGATGTCATTACCAAGGTGCGTCAAGATGACCCTGTACACAGTAAATGGTGCATTGAGGGAACGGAATTTGGTATCTGGGTTGACATGAGCTCCCTTTGAACCCTGAGAAGGATACACAACATATCAACCTGTTAGAACAGGACGCCGTTATTAAAGGATTAACCGTGGTCCTTCAATGGAATGCAGAAGTGGATAGTAGACACTCTTACGGGGAAGGCCAGGATACATACAAAGGCTGCGAGTGAAATGCTCATTCGAAGGTCGCTAGACACACTGAGAAAGTTGTTAAGTAAGTACAACTTATCAGTGTATATACAGCTGGTTAGATCGAATCAGAACAAGGCAAATCATTTAACAGGGTGCCCTAGAGATGGCTTGACGTTATTGAGAAGGAGGGAGAGAGAGAGAGGAGGGAGAGAGAGAGAAGGAGGAGAGAGAGAAGGAGGGAGAGAGAGAGAAGGAGGGAGAGAGAAGGAGAGGAGAAGGAGAGGAGAAGGAGAGGGAGAGAGAGAAGGAGAGGGAGAGAGAGAGAGAAGGGAGAGAGAGAGAGAAGGAGAGGGAGAGAGAAGGAGAGGGAGAGAGAGAGAGAAGGAGAGGGAGAGAGAAGGAGAGGGAGAGAGAGAGAAGGAGAGGGAGAGAGAGAGAGAAGGGAGAGAGAGAGAGAGAGAAGGAGAGGGAGAGAGAGAGAGAAGGAGAGGGAGAGAGAGAGAGAAGGAGAGGGGAGAGAGAGAGAAGGAGAGGGAGAGAGAGAGAAAGGAGAGGGAGAGAGAGAGAGAGAAGGAGAGGGAGAGAGAGAGAGAAGGAGAGGGAGAGAGAGAAGGAGAGAGAGAGAGAGAAGGAGAGAGAGAGAAGGAGAGGGAGAGAGAAGGAGAAGGAGGGAGAGAGAAGGGAGAAGGAGGGAGAGAGAAGGAGAAGGAGAGAGAGAGAAGGAGAGGGAGGGAGAGAGAAGGAGAGGGAGAGAGAAGGGGGGAGAAAGAGAGAGAAGGGGGGGAGAAAGAGAGAGAAGGGGGAGAAAGAGAGAGAAGGGGAGAAAGAGAGAGAAGGGGGGAGAAAGAGAATAAATAAAACAAACCATTTTGCTCAGATTTATAAAAAAGTATTACATTTTTTTTAATGTAATCATTCTTTTTAAAACAATTTTTCATTTTCTAAAGCCTGTTTTTTCCCTAAATTAAAATTAGCTATCTACAGCCACAGATTTCATCAATAACTTTATTTTTATATTTTATAATGTAACTACATTAGATAGAGTGACACACACACAATATGTGTCATATAATAACAGTGGTAATTTTGGTCAATTATTGTTACATTGTGAATGAAAAGATGGCAGCCAGAGGAAGAAGAGATTCTACTTACCATCTGTTTATTATTAGTGTTTTTTTTCTTCACAACAGCTTCAAGTGCTGCTGCCCATTGTTGTTTGTCTGAAAAGCTCACACTCATAAGGTAAAGGACTCTGCAAAAAAGAGAGAGAGAAGAAAAAAAATCAAGCATCTCTGAAGTGAAGACACTTGTGTTTAGTTTTGGTCAATTTTTAGCTTTGAAGGAATGGTTTCTAATCAATCATGTCTATTGTAACAGATTCAACATTTTTAAAGTGGTTATTTAGTCATCAATGTTTGCCATTGCTTATTTTGAAGTAAAATTTCACAGATTTTTACAAAGTGAAGATTTTCAATTGAAAAAGCAAACTGCTTGTTATAGGCTTAGGTTTCTAAATTAGACATACTAAACTCTATTCAAATATCATCCAAAACAGAAGAGCATCAACCTGCTGGTGCTTTTCTTAGTTTTGATGTGTTTTCTTAGTCCACTAGGCTAACAGTGGTTCATGAATTTGGTGGAAGACCAGATATCCCTTGACATAGACATCAAAATGAGAAACAAGTTATTCTTAAATATTCATAAATAAATGGCTCAGTTTGAAATTCCGTTAGGATTAGATGGATTGACAGACACCTGATGAAGGCAAAAGAGGAAAAATAGATGAAATGATATAAGATGAGGATATTATGTAAATAATGGCTACTCCTGATGCTAGAAATTCAAACAGAAAGGTGAAAATAACTTTTGCTATAACAATATCATAGTAAATGTTCCTTTAAAAGTATCAGCTGTTAAAGCAAAAGAGAGAAACAGTTGCACTGTACTCAAGTTTGACCACCAAGTGACAAACTTGAATAGTTTGAAAGAGAAATTAGTTCTTTAGATAAGAGCTTCCACTGGATAATTTTATCAGCCATGCTGGGAGTTTTTAATTTGATTGAGTTTTTGAGGTACAAGATTGTCTTCCATTTCTACTTTTTCGAGTATATTGCAACTTAAACAAAAAAAAAACAAAAAAAACCAAAACAAACAAAAAAAAAAACAAACTTATTTTGTTTTGTTGGAATGATTTGTGGTTTTGGCTAGTTTTACTGGCTCTGTTTTGTAAATATTAAACTAGTATTGTTTTAATTTCTTTTTTAAATATTGGCCAATTATCCAATACTAGTTTCAGTAATTTCTCAATGTGTGCTTTGTATTAATTTAGTTAATTGATATTGGGTATAGTTAATAACTTTTGCTCAATATTCAAGCCTGATATTTCTAGTCTAGGCCTCTATTATTTTATTTCTAGTCTAGCTTTCTATTATTTCATGCCTCTGGCAATGGTATGTGTCTTCTGTGTTTTACTTTCATGATTATTTTCTCCTTCCAGATTTCACATATTCGTGTATATGTCAAGTGACCTTTATGACAAAGTATATGCTCTGTTGCATTATCCACCGGATTAGTCAGTGAACTTTCTGCCCACATCTCTTACATGTGTTTGTCCCATAGATTTAATTATGCAATGTCCATATTTCTGACATTTGTATCATCTTAGAGGAGAGGGTATTGGTTCACTTTTCCAACAGTGTAACATATTTTGATTTTTTTTGGTATTTTTGCAGGAGTGTCGTCTGAATTTGTATCGAAAGATACATGATCGTCTAAGCATGTATCATGCATAACTCATAACTGACTTTTTATGTTTATTCTTCTAAGGTATATATTCCCATAAGATTTAAAGCTTGGTTTTCTTTCACCCAATGTGCAAAAAGATAGTTTGGGTATTCTCTCTACATCTCTGCTAGTGTTTGATGAGGGTGGGGTGGTCTGAGAGGATATCCTCAACACTGTCCCTGCTTATTTAACATTATTCGAACTGTTATCCTCATCTTCATTGTCATATTCCCAATACTTCAGCTATTGCACGTTCCAGCCTTCTTCCACTGGGCCATAGTGGATAAAGACGTTGGTTAGATCTAGTGACTAAACCCAAAGTGTTGAAAGATCAATACCAGGCTACAACATTGGTGAACCAAAAAAACTTCGAGAGTTGAGTTAAAGGGAAATAACTGAGAAGTGGAAGAGGCATGGAACATGGAACTAATACAATCTACCCCAGTAGATGAAAAAGGGTTTGGTTTGAAATTCTAATCACCTGAAGAAGGCAGGAGGATACAATGGCTGAAATGTCATGAGAGTAACAGTTTGAATAATGTAAATAATCATTATCTGTCTATATTTCTGAGATAAGTTTTTATATACATTATTTACATTATTCAGACTATTGTCCTCATCTTTGTCGCCATATTTATTACAACATTTCGGCCGTTGTACGCTCCAGCCTTCTTCAGGTGGTTGGAATGTCAAACTGAACTTTTTATTTCGCTCACTGGGGTAGACTCTTCTAGTTCCCTGTGCCATGGTTAATGGATGTCAGTTATCTCCTGTTAATTTCCCTTGGATAAAGGCATTAGCTAGATCCAGTGACAGGACCCAAAGAGTTTGAGTTCAATACCCGGTTAAGGCAGTGGAGAACTTTCAGAGGGAAATTAACAGGAGATAACTGACATCCATTAAACATGGCACGTGGAACTAGAAAAGTCTACAAAAGTGACAAAATAAAGGGTTCACTTCGACATTCCAACCACCTGAAGAAGACCAGAGTGTACAATGGCCAAGACGTTGTAATAAATATGGCAACAAAGATGAGGACAATAGTCAAAATAATGTAAATAATCATAATACCTCATCTCAGAGATATAGACTGACTGTCCCTGCTTTTTTTTATCTCTTTCTCTATCCTTCAACCAGAAGATTTTCATTTTTTTTTTACCCACATTTGAGCTCAGTTTGGAAGATAACTTGTTCTATAATGAATGGTGACAATCTTGACTGATTCCAGTACCAAAATTTCATTATTTCTTTGTTCATTACCATTATCCAAATAAACCACCCAAAAAACATGCTGGCATTTATTTTAGGCTATATATATATATATATATGTGAAAAGTGAATATAAATATAAATAAATATATATATATATGTATAATTATTTATATATTATATGCGCGGTACTTATTAGAAAGCGCTCAATATCAGAGATAGAGCTAACATATAATCCACTACAATCTTTATTACCCCCCCAGCATATTTAATACTTTAAAACAATATGATCAGATATAATTTCCATATGTAACCATGAGAACAAACACCTATTACCAGGCAGCTTTAATATAATAATAATAATTTTGTAATTAAAAATTATAGCAATCTTCAACTACCATAATTTTACATAGAATACCTATTATCAGGATTTATACCAAAATAAATTAATACATATAACAAAATAAAACAAAATAAAACACCAACAACCACTTTTTTAGTTCAAGCTACCACCACTATAACTACATTCATGGTTTTATCATTCTCCCACCACCGTTACTAATCATTTCTACCAATCTGCAATTTCTTCCAGTTTACAATAACTATTAGCTAAAACCTAAATAGCATTGTCTCCAATCCTTTGAAACATTACTATCACATCATATAAACCCGTTATTAAATTAAACATCACCATATAAATTAAACAATAAGGATTACAATTTTTACCTGTTACATATACACAGTCACCAAAAACAAACAAATAACCAGCTTTAAATATAACAAATAAACCCCCATTTTTTTTTCAAAAATTTAAAAATAAATATAAATAATTTAATAATAATTTTTACCTATCATAATTTTACACAAACCCCACCACACATATATACATACATGAAAATATTTTTCAAATATTTTTCAACGGAAAAAAAAAAAAAAAAAAATTTTCATAATATGACATGGATACATTCACGAGACAATAACGAGACATTTCCATACACACTTCCAATGTTTAAATTTCAACATTTCAACATACAAATGCGTATGTATAGACATAACACCACCAGATACATGTGTCATAGCCGAAACTGTCTACATATGTTTATATATATGTATGAGTCCCGACAGACGACCAAGTATGTATATGTATATGTGTCTGCATACATCGATGTTTTTTGCGTTAGTACGATGAATGACAAAAATCACGAAATTTCCCCCACCACTTCCACAATAACACCAATACACGCAATCTACATAAACCCAAATTTTTTAAAACAGTAATCAGTGTCTGACGATCGCTAAAAGCGTGAAACCCAGGGTCACAAACTCACATCTATCCAGCCAAATATATATATATATATATATATATATATATATATATATTTTTTTAATAATCTTCATTGTCCATACTTCCACACTGGAGCCTAATATTGGAAAATGTCAATGGGGAAAACTACTAATCTTGATGATGGTATTTATCAATTCACCCACAGGAATTGAATGTGGCACAAGGCCTTTTTTAATGTGGGTATGTCTGAGCCCGTAGGCCCAGTCAAAAAATAAACCCATCTAAACCCGTCCAAGCGGGCTAGTTCCGTCAACCTCCCGTACGAAACCCTACCCTTGACAGAGCTTAATCCGGGTTCCCTCTGTCAGAGAGTTCGACAGACACCCGACCGGCAGCTCACAAAGCGCAGATACTACACTTTGATCCTAGCCACTGGGCCGAGTGGGTTCTTGATGATAACAACATACTTGCCTTCAGAGGAAACTTAGTACTTGCAAACCATTGGCTACTCTACCCAAGTTTTAGTGCAATGTCAGATGATTAACAGCCATGTCAAAGTTTTGAGTTTTCAATCTCATAGCTCCTTAGACACCACCTTCTGCCACACATGAAAACAGCTCTGGTATTGATCATATTGAATCTAATCAGATTGGGAATGAATAGTTTAAAGTGTGTGTCAGTTGTATTAAGGCTTGGAGTGACAAGCTGATTGAACAGATCAATAACTTCTTGACTTTCCATCTAGTCCAAGTAAGGGCTGTTGCAGCTTACATAATCCCCATGGGAATGAACCATTCATCCACCAGGATCCTGTCCTTGGACATCATGGGTTGTTGCCCATGGTCAATATGTGGGCTCCCTTTTGGAGTGGGAAGGGTTTATCCATCTGTAGTGGGGGATACACTAATTGTATTCTAAACTCAAATAAAATCTGTATTAATTTTGAGGTCAAAAGCAGATAAATACTATTCATTCATTTTTATGTACATATTATGCCTAAATCATTTATTACATTTAAGAGAGGTCATGACTGACTGGTAGCACCCAATATACTGCACCATATCTAGTTGATCATTGGTCAAAAGTATTGGAATATTTGATATTTTGAATTTGATAAATGATAAAATTAATTTTAAATAGTAAAGTGTAGTAAAAGCAAGCTGAATAACCTAAACTTGTGAACTAGGCATTGATATTAATGCAAAGTAACTACATCTAAATTCTATGTCTTTGCCCACTCCAAAATTTTGAGAAGTGAACATTTTTCACACTCCTTATCATAACACAGGGTTAGATGTGAACTTTGACATCTTTCAAACAACACTTTATGTCTCATCCAATTTCATAACTCCCATTGTCAATGAGAAACCATTAAAATGACATTGGAATTAAATTTTTTATTTGCATTAAGGCTTATTTGCTAACATCAAACTTTATCAGGAAAATGTATTATATAAACATGAATTCTGATTGCTTCTATATGCTAATGTTTCTGTTTGAGTGTTTCAAAATGTCAAATTTTTTTTTTTACTTACTTTCCTGGCCAGCAGGTAGTGTCTGGTATTTCCTCAAGTTTCATGATGTAGAGCAGATCAGAACTGGCAGCATGAGGTAGTTCAGCTGCTGTTACTGCACTGTGAACCACTACCTCACTGTCTGTTTCAGGACACAACTCAAATGTGTCCATAGGAGATGGGTCATCCTGGTCTTTATACATCATCAGTAAACTGCCATCAAGTTTCACCCAGCGCTGATCCCAACTATTTTTACCATTTCTATTAGAAAGGAAATAAAAAAAAAACCCCAAAAAAACAAGAATTAGTGAATACCTGAGAGCATAGGATTATTGACTTTACTTAAATTGAAGTGCCAAAAATTATTAGAGACAAGTGGGTTGTCATTGAAATAAAAAAGGTTTTTGTTGTTCAAAATGAAAATTGCTTGGATTTCATAATTGTTTCCAGTTTTCATCCAACAGAGAAATATATTAATGAATAAAAAAAAACTATTCATTCTTTTATAATGATTAAAATGTGGAAGAGTAGAATATCAAAATTTAAACTTGGTAAAGTCAAGAACCTGTAAATAAACTCAAGTGCAAAATAAGACAGCTTACTAATAATATATAACCCCTCTCATTAGTTAAATAATAGTGGCTATATGATATGGTATGGTGTCTACAAGGTGCTGGAATTAAAAAAAAAAACCCTAAAAACCTGACAATCCTGGTCTCTCGAGTAAAAGAAAAAAAATTACAGAGGTTATTTAAACCCTAATATTTTCAGATTCTGCAATCGCAGAGATGGGATAATTGGTAATTTATTACCTGAGTACTTTGAGCCAGGTAGCCATCTGGCAAGGGCTTGAATGTTGGTCATTATCCATGCTAAATGCTGCATCCACTGTGTCTGGTTGGTCCATTTTGCGCATAAAAGATGTAAAATGCTGAATATATTCAGGTAACAGGCCACAGCTGGCAGGCACCAATGACGTGCATTTTGGATGACATACAATGTGACACTCTATAGTAAAGGAGGCAAGAGTATTCTAATTTTATTGAAAAGTATGACATTTAAAGTCAGAGGAGAGAGTAAAATAAAAATGTTAGGAATAGGTAGCAAGGTCGAAATATAATGTAGACAAAATTTACAGAGGAACATGAAACAAAAATGATGAAAAGAAGATCGGTAAAGGCAAGAGATGTGAGTGGGTAAAGAATGTCAAAAAATTAATTCTTAAAGACACTTCAATTTTGACATGGAAAAAAAAGTCTCAGCACTTACCAAGAGGTTTTATAACTGGCTTACTGACATGTAGATCCTCTTGACAACTTATTGTCTACATTTTTTTTTTACAGCATGAAAAAGCAATAAGTTTATACTTTAAATTCACAGTGAATGATCTAAGAACCCACAGTAGTTTTTACCTTCACTGGAATACTTCTATCACAACTAATAATGATATTTGTATTTGAAATAAAAAGCATTATAGTTAGGCCAATTGTTCATGCCAGTGACACTGTTACCACAAGTTGATGGCTTTGTTTTTGTATGCATTTCACTGTCTCATTACAGTGAAGTGATATGCTTGACTGACTAATGTAGTTTTCAGTTCACTGGTTTTAAAAATGTTTTTCAAGTTCATTGATTTTTTTTTTTTTTTGACAAAAATCACTTGTGGCTGTGTTTGATCATGAGTCTTTATTATACCAGCAAATCCAACTTTGCATATTCACTTCTTTTGTCACTTAATAATAATCCCTTAAAGCTCATTTGAAAAGAGTAAAGATATCATTAGCAATAATATAAAACATCAATTACTATTAGTCTGTTGCCTCATCTACTATAGCATAGCAGTACCAGTTTTGTGATTACATATTTTTTTTTTATTTACACTATTTACATCATTGAGATTGTTGTCATCTTTATTGTCATATTCATGTTTTGGCCACTGTACACTCTGGCCCTCTTCAGGTGATATACATTGGAATTTTGAACCAAATCCTATATTTAGTGCACAGGGGTAGATAAGTTGTATTTTGCCTTTTTGGATATCTTAGTTTCAGTTAATTCCCGTTAATAATTCAACTCTCCAAGTCAAGCCACTTTTTTTTTCACTTCGTGAATTTTTGGAACTCATAAACCTAATGTCCTAGTAACATTTTTTTGCCAGAGCTCATATTACAATTTTGTGTTATTGTTGTTTTTCTCTAGCTTTGTATTTATTCACATATTGTATTCATATCTATACTTGGCCAGCTTAGGAGATTGGTGGCCTAACATATGTGCTGATTCCTTAAGTTTTTGTATTTCCCAGTGATATTCTCTTGTCTATTATTTCTACTTCATCCTAGAGTAGAAGGCCAAAAATGGCTGAAACATTGTGAATATGGCAATAAAGATGAGGTCAATAGTCTGAATGATGCAGATAGTTCCAATAGTTTATCACAGAAATATAGACAAATATATTTTATATTATGATACATATTTACTACAATTTATTCAAGTTATATACAGGCGTTCAGATTTACTTTCTAGCACAGATTATCTTTAAAAGATAAACCTAAGGGAAGGTAACTTTCAGCCTGTAGGATGCAAGAAAAATTCTTGGAACTTATTTCAGAAGGGTAGGTTGAGATAGTGTTTTCAATGCTGGAAAATACAATACATATAAAATTATAAATAATCAGTTCACTTACCTTCACATTTTGATGCTTGAGTAACAAATGGCACATTGCCAAGGCACACTGCACACTTGGTTGCACGCGTGTTGTAACCAGACACAAATCGGTGAGGAATATTGTGATGCATGCGTGTCCTAGGTGGCTTGGCTGGAGCAACTGGTGTCCCTGGCGCACTTTTGCTTAAGCCAGACGTCGACACAGACGAGCTCATTTTGGATAGGGCTTGACTTGTCGGAGACTTGCCAAGAGCAGATATCACAGCAGAGTTAGTTAGAGGAGAGGATGATGAGGATGCCAAAAGAGTACGGGAATCTCCATCATCAGCCTTCAGTTTCAGCACTAAGACAAAAAGAGTAGCCAGTAGTAACATTTTTTGTGCAGGTCTATATTTAAGCAGGTTAAATTTTTTATAATTTTAAAAAGTACTTAAAAAAAAAAAAAAAAACAAAAACTACTATTTAAGCTTGAATTTTTTTTCTATCCCTTTACAAAATTCAAATATGCATAAAAAAAAAAAAAATGTGAAAATAAATATGTAGCATTAAAAATCTAAAAGCAGGTAAATTGGAAGGTTAGAAACAGAATAAAAAAAATTAGAATATTAAATAATTTTTAACAAATTTTATATAATTACAGTCATCCACAATGTAAAATTTCAATTACAACACTATAAAATTGCTTTGCTTATTTCATCAAAGGAAATTAAACTTTAAAACCTGTTTTTACTTCATTGAATTTGGGCCAAATTATTTTTGTTATGACTGTTGATCTATCAGATTAGTAAGGCTTATAACAAAAAGTAAATCAAAGCTAGAATAATCAGATATTCCAATAAAAAGCAAAAAATCCTTTAAATAAATGTTTATTTATATATTCACCTAATAGGTGAGTGGGCCATACAATCTCGTTGAACAAACTTCCATTTAAAACTCATGTATTTGCAATGTCCACAAAAACATGCTATTATAAAAGTCCTAATAGCCACAGTGGCTAATTATCAAATTTCTGTGTTTTAAACAATATAATGAAATGATCTACATTTTAGCACCATAAAATTACCGGGTCTTCTTTGGAACAACATTCACTCTCACAAATATGAAAATTTACCCCACCTCCTACCATATAACCCATTCAATACTATATATAACAGCCTATGATGTACAAACAGTAAATATTGATCAAAGTTTGTTCTTTCTGCATATCTGTTCTGTAAGACCAGTTCCTTTCATATGGCCTTTTGTCACCTGTTTCCATATACTTTTTACAAATTTCAAGTTAATTTTTGACATATAACTGAATGAATTTTGCTCACTGTAGTTATTTGGTATTGATTTCTAACTGAAGACACGATTAGGTTTTAAAAATTTCAAATTATAGATCAAAACAAGGCACTAGCAAAAACTGCTGAAATGTATTTCAATTCTTATAGTTCATTTCTCCTATTCATTTGAATAAAAATTGTTTTTATGAAATATCTTTGAAAAACTTGTTTAGATATCAAGTCATTTTATATTTACAGAATTTATATTATAATTATCTGTAAATACTAATTATTATCACTAGTATGCTATTATATCCGATGAAGAGTACAAACCCGTCAAAATCTTTTTCCTTATTGCTCATAATTTTAAAAAAATAAAAAATGCATAAAATAAAATTTAAGGAAATGACAAAAAGCAGTTAATAGAGCTGGCATTATCTCCCTTAGAATTTTTATTTGTCAGTTTATACTTAATAAAAATTGAGTTAGTCTCCAAGTTCAAGTATTTTAATGACATTGTACTAACAAAAATAGTCCTAGGATGTTCTGTTTTTGCTGTTACAGTAACAAACATACTGATTATAATATAAATGTTTTTTTTTCTTTTTAGCATGCAATCAAATATCTTGAAACAAAATGCAAAATGAGTTAAACTAAAAGTTAATAAGTTCTGATTAGTAAGAAATACAACAATAAAACAAAGATTGCTTCACCATCCTAAGTGAGATTCATAGTGACAAATGGCATATGATAATCCTTGAAATTGGGGTTTGGCCATGGCACAGATTTAACTTCTTGTCATGGAACAAGATTTGAAATTATTATATCACAGTTATCAGTCAAGAAAATATAAAAACAAAAATAAAATATATGAATTTATTTTATTTAATTAAAAACTTGAAGTGTCTTTATAAACTTCATTAACCTTGTATTTTTTACTTGTAAAATAACAGTGTTTAAAACATAAATTACAGTTATAAGAAATGACAACATGAAGTTAGAGGAGAACATAAATTGAAGAGATGGACACCATGATAAACATCAATATTTTACACTTGTTTGTTTTAGCACATGCTTCTTTCTTTATTGGGCTACACAAGCCTTTGACAGCTTATTAAACTGACTAATATGGTTCTTTGCCTCAGCAGCCTGAAACATGAAGAATTTTCAAATCATGTCAGTATGAAAATAACTAATGAACCAAACTTGGAGAAAAGAAAACATTAATTTGATCATGTGGAATGGAGAAAAGAACCTGAAAAGTTCAGGACAGTTAACTAAAGATTTTCTAGTCATATCTTCTCCAAGTTCAACAGTCACTAGTCAGTGAAATCTAATTCACAAGATAAAATCAATAGAGAAAGCAATCATGCATCTAATAAATGTGGTTGATTCATGTTAAATAGCCTTCTTTGACTAACATTCTCAGCTGATATAAAGTGGAAAGACTATATTGAATCCATTGCTAGGTCTGCTGCTAAGAAAGTTGGTTCACCGTGTCAACCAAGACAATTTTTCTCTCCAGAATCCATCTTACATATCTATGTCTACTATTCATTCATGCTTAGAATATTGCTTTGACTCTTGCTGTATATTTAGAGATCCTTGATAAAACCCAAAAAAGAATCAGCAATATTATTGGTTCTGATCTGGCTGCTTAGCTTCAGTCACTTTCCCCTTCACCACAAAATTGCTTCCCTGTGCCTTTTCTATAAATACTTTCAATGGTAATTGTTCAGATAAGCTCTTCACAGTGGTACCTAGACTTTACGAATTTAAGCACAGTACTAGACTAGGAACACAGTCTCATCAATTTACAGATGAATTGGCTAAATGTAACTAACAGTTTTTCTTGCACATCTTATTAGTGGAACACTCCCTTCTAGCTCCATGCTTTCCAACCAACTTTAAACTTCAAAAATTTAAATGCTATTCAATCACTATCTACTGTCCTCTTGATTTCCCACTCCTTAGTATGTTCCTGTTTTCTATTTTTTCCACACCCAGTAACCCCTTGTCTCTTATTGGCTTTACTGCCTTGCTTTTGGGGTGAACTCTATTTAAAAAAAAAAAAAAGAAAAAAAAAAAAGATGAAGTTTTGTTATAAACTCAACCATCAATTGGTTAAATAACCTAAAGGGTAAAAAATGTCACTTAAGAACTCCATGAAAATATTATCTTCTATATTAATAACTATTATATTCCATACTGGAAATTGGCAACAAATTCAATGCAAACAAAACTAATTTTTTTAGACTACCAATACTCATAGACAAAAAAAGAGCATGTTAAACTTGTACAATACTTTCACAAGGTTCAAGTGGTAGCATTTGCATTTAAGTTGGAACATGCATACAGTTATGAACTTACCTTTGTACAAATAAAAAATTGACAAACTAAAAATATAAAAATCAATCTAATCTGAATATAAAACTCATTTTAATGGATTTGATAGTTTTGTATTATGATATTCATCTAGACACACCAACTTTTATTAAACAGAAGTACATATCAGGTGATTTCATTCAAACAATATTTTTAAAAGAACATTAAAAAAAAAAAAAGAGTTGTTCAAAATTTTATTATTTTAATGAATATGATGACAAGAGAAAATGGTCAACAAAGTTAAAAGCATTAGTTATTTTAAAATGTACATTTCATTGTTTCTTGAAAATAAAATCAAGATCACACAGTTAAAGTGAACAATGCCTCTATTGGTTTCCAGTTATCATGCAGGTTTATCTTGATGACTACTTTTTATGATATTTACAAGAGTAAGCATGCACACCAAGATAAAAACGTTTCTAAAAAAAATTGTGATGAGTAAGTAATATGCACATAAGTAGAGTCACAAATGCAACATAAAACTTGGAGACAAGGAAAATATTAAAATGCATGAGAAGCTCAATATTCAAGAGTCAAAGATAATGGCCTCAAAGCGACTAAATAATTAAAAAGTCTTTGTACATCACTTTCTTTTTTTTACAATTCAACTATGCCTGTACAACTGCACAGACATGAAGCCAGAGACAGGCAAGTATAAATTGTGGCTGTTTGAGTATATGGCAGGGCAACAAGATGAGAAGTACAGCTTTGGCCCCAAATGTCCAAGTAAAATTGCTGGAGATGTCCGACTGGCTACTTCTTGCCTAGTTGCTTCCCAAGTCGCTCAACTAGAAAAAAAAAAGGTAAAAAGGAAAAAAAAAAAAAAAAAAAAAAAAGCCCAAATAATGATGAAAAATCTGGTGAGGCCTTAAAACTAAGATGAGGTGCAGCTGGTACTTTACATAGTTTCCTTGAATGTTATACTATAAATAGCACATTTTTAGAAAATAAAACCTATTATGGAAATCATCTTGAAAAATATTGTCTTCAAGATCAGACATCAAAACAGTTTTAATACAATTTTTTTCTTTTAAATAGATAATTTCAATTAGAATCAAGAATTAGATGCAATTAGAAAATTTAGAGACACAATGATTGATAGAAAATCTTTCATGCAATATTTTTACTTAGTTGCATAAATCATAAAATTAGTCACCTTCACAAGTTTTCTTTTTAACAAGATGCATGCATTGGTTTAGTTACCAAGCTCATGTAGTTATGACAATAGTAGTTACATGGTATTAGTGACAATATATTTTCATTTGTTAGAAATCATGTTATTGCTTGCTGATATTTTGCTACTATTTTTGTTTTAAGTTTGTTTCTGATAAGTAAAAACTTTTGCTTGGTCTTAGTTTTAATCCCATAATAATTAAACCTGTAAGTCTTGTATAATTCAATATATATATAAAGTTTGAGATGAAATCACTTCATATTGTGATATCCATAACAAACCAAGAAATATCTGCAATGTCTCAACATATTGGTTCAAATTTAAAGTATTCCATTTATACAACAAAAGATTTATTAGAAATATTGACAGATGAACAATTTTAAGTTTAGAAACTATAACTAGAAAAATTAAATAGATTTTTCCCCATTTATGACCTGAATTTGGCAAGAAAATAAAAAAAATATGTAGTTATTTCTATTATGGACTAACAATCTTGTTAGCGTTATTAACAAATTGTTTAAAGAATAAACTTAACTTCATTTTGAGACAGGAACAGTCATAACAGAATTTTTGAAAACAAGTTTTTCTCTTATTCCTCCCAAAGAGGAAAAAATTACAATTTTCTCCTAAGTAAATTGATTAAAATAAATGCAAAAACATTTAGCAATTACAGATGGAAAATTAAAAAGATAATTATATAGGTGTTTTTTCTCTTGTAGGTCTTATGGTAAATAGTTGCTTTTTCTTTCATCAAAACATGGCACAAATTCCTGAGAACACTTCTCAAATGATCAAATTGTGCAAAATTTCAAATTTAAAAATAACCAGGATTTACTCTACATTAAAAAGAAAATGAGAATTTAAAATTACATTTAAAAATCTTTTGCACCCCCCCAGACACATTTAATCATTTGCAGTATCTTCTTCATAAACTGCACTTTTCTTTTCATTTGAATTACATCTTACTTTTGACACATTCAGCACCAAATGATGTCAATGCTTTCATTACTTTGCCTATTTAACAACCAATTACACGGTTTTTCTCTTTAAAATTTGTGCTTTGTTTCTGTTCACCACACACTATGACAATATCTGTTTTCCAGTGATGCTAGTTAGTCTCAAAAGGAATTCCCATAGTACTATTCTCCACCAACATATGCTAGGAGAAAAAATAAAAACTCCTCTGCAATGAAAGTGTTTAAAATAAAAGGTAATAGATGCTGAAAATATTATTTTACCTTCAATGTTAGAATTAATAAAGAAAAGTATATAATTTTGACAATTTCTAAAAATAAGATGCATGCTGACATGATTGATACAATTGAAAAGAATTTTCAAAAAAATTAAAACTAAACGCTCCTAATGCCATTTAATAAATATAAAATGAACATTTTTGGTGACCTAATAGGAAAGAAAAAGCAGTCACAATTCATAATCTATTATCGCCAAAAATTTACCTAGTCAACACATCTTTTTCTAAAAATTTTTTTCAAGTTTTTTTTTGAGAAAAAAAAAGATGATAAAAGAAAGCAAAAGATGAAGGAGAGAAAAAAAAAAAAAAAAAGTAATGAGAAAGTAAGGAAGAGGATAAATTTCCACTTTATATTGGCGATGTATGCTCAAAATTTATTCTAATTAGATTTTACATTATAGAAAATGGGATGAATTTCCAATTTAAATTTTTAAAACAATGCAAATTAAAGAAAACAAAAAATAATCAATTTGATATTTTCTGAGATAGATTCAGTTTAAATTTTAAATAATTACTTCTTGCATTATTAGAAAATCAATGATACTTTTTCTTTTTTTCTTTTAATTATTTCTGCCTATCTTCAATAATTGAAATCATCAGAAGATAATTGTGGATCAGAATTCGATACCCTGAAATGATGCTAAAATCATCAAAGTATATAGTATTGAAGTAATGAGCAAGAGGTTTGGCCATAACCTTTGAAGAAATGTAATATATATCTATATAAAAATACCGCTTTAAAAATAAGAGAAATTTCAAATCCTCCAAAAGGAATTAATTAGAAAAGTTTCTCAAAAATGAAATGTAAGTGATAAAACATACAAAGCAAAAGCACAATGAATGAAATACAACAAAAACTAAACTTCAGTGTCATTTCTATATTGTACAATAAAAAAAGCAACAAAAATAAACTGGAGGTTATTAGTTGAATACTCACCTTCTGCAACTAATTGGTAATTTTCCTGTCTCATTTTTTCAATCTGTTCCTGTAGTTTAACATTCTTTTTTTTCTCTGTGTCCACTTGCATTTGTAGTTCATTGTTAGCTGCAGTATGTGCAGGACTTTTGGGGGCACCATCTTTGCTCTTAAAGCTACCAAACAATCTGCCACACTGAAGGAAGGAAGGAAAAAAAGTCGTTATCTTCATTTTAAGCATTCTTAAAATGATTCCCATAAATTGTTAAGGAAACATTATTTCTTTTGACTAGCATTTTACATTTTAAGAAGGTTATATACAGTGCTGACAGGTTAATAAGGGGTGAACCATCATTGTAAATCCGATTCTAATTACTGAAAAAAGTTCTTTAAATTGTTTTACTCCCTTTAGCAAATCTCCTTCAATCTTGAGTGAAAATTATCTTCCATTTACAAAATTAACAACAAATATTAGTTTTCCTAAATAAATTCCTGCACTAATCCAATAAAACTATTTAGAAAAATATACTTTTAGGTATTATTGGTAGCAAAACTGGACAGATATAATTTGATTTAGCATCATTTCGATTTCTTTTAATTATTGTTTAAGAGAGAAAATAACTTACAACTAACCTAAAAAATTGTACACAGTAATATGACAGATATAATAAAGGCTATTAGAGATTACCAAATATACATAATGTTAATGTCTCAATTAGTGAAAAAAATTGCTTTATGAATTTCAGATATAAGCTTGATAAAAGGAAATTAGAAATCCTGAATATATAGTGGAAATGTAAAAACAAAACAATGTCAGCAGTAAAAAAGATTATTCTAATTTGACACATTTTTCTCTTAAGCTATATCAGCAGAAAATCTAAGATAGCAATGAAACTTTTCTTGGACAGGATAAAAGCTAACTGGCCTTTACAGTGGATTACCTTTTTCTTTTTGCTTGTTCCATCATTGACCAAGGCTTGCAAATAATCAATTAGCTTCATTTGCTGACCCATCATGTTCTCAAAACGATATTTTTCCAAGCAATATGTGCTCTACAAATAGAACAAGAGTGTTAAAATAGAGAAATGAAATAACAAATATTTGGTTCAATTACTTGAAAAAGAAAGTTTACTTATGGTCTATAAAAAAAAAAAAATCTGAGGGTTAAACAAAATATTTAAGTTCAGTAAACAAAGAAAAAATATCTTTTTCAACTGATCATAAATTGAGTTTAGATAAAAAGAACGTATAAACATAAAAAACGTCTTAAAAAAATAAAAATTCTTGTTTTTGCCTAGAGGGATTTTCCAATGCAACTTTAGCCAGACTGGAAACTCAGAAAAATGTAATTAGCACACTATTTAGCACCTCAGTACTTGTGATTAAAGTGAGCATGGCAGATATATTTTTCATGCAAGAATCTGGATTTGATAGGAAAAAATTTTGCTAAATTTAATTCCAAGATTAAAAATAAAGCTGAAGAAATCAAGGAACTGCCATTCACTAAAGCAATTACTTACTTGGAGTAGTTCCATGACTCGTTCCAAATCAACCTTTTCACCAAAGATCATCTCAAATTTATCCATGGCTTCTTGCCAGTTGTCCTTGATTTTACGGTTCTCATCTCGAAGCACTTCTAACTCTATTGCCTGCTTAGAGCACTGATGGATTAAAAAAAAAAAAAGTTCAATTGAAGTTCATTTGTTGTATATTTTCGTATGAAATTTTTGTATAAGCAAAACCTTAATATAAAATGCCATTAATACTAAAATAAAAAAAAACTATGACTAAGAAGCCTTAGATATTTTACTAATGTAATATGCATATTCTTTAAAAAAAACTCAATATCACTGTAGGTTTTCTATTGATGTAAATAGCAATAATACAGTCATATCATCATTAAACTTGAGCCTAGACAATAGGTTTCATCTTCCAGAAATAACATATAAGCAGCATTTTTGGAAATTTGCAAAGATAAATATGTAGATCATTAAAAATTCTATCAGCTAATACAGAGCAGTTATAATCAATAAAAGAGTAAAGAACTCTTCTTCCACATTGCTCTTTAGACATCCATAATCCAGTAGTACAATGAGAAAATAACCTCAAGATTGTTATATTAGATGCCACTTTGAGGGATTCTCAAAACCCTAGAAAAGTAGTTAAAGGATCAGCTAAATTAACTTGCTTCTATTTAAACATTAATAAATAAATAAAATGTAATCTAACAGTTAAATGTTTTTATTCCAATTTTTCTCAGCCATTTTTTTACATATATTTTCCTTATCAAAGAAACATGTAAAATTCTGATCACTAAAACAATACATCTATGGAAACATAAATAGTTTTTATTGAATTTCTATTTTTTAAGAAAATAATATGACTATGTAATGTCATTAGCAGCTTTTTTGTTGCAAGGAACAAAAAAATAGTTAAAGGGAAGTAACTCAGAATAGCGAATGAAATCAGTGTTGAGATACCCACAAGTTCTTTCAGCTGAGACTCGTATTCCTTGTCGTCTGACAAAAGTTTTTTCATGTCGCTTTTCTCACTGTTCAATTTGGAAACCCTTTTCTCTGCTTCAGCCAACTGAGGAATAGAAACAAGACCATTCCTATAACAACATAATATAAAAATATTGCATGATTAGAAGAGACATTTGCTTCATGTTAATTTCTTTTGTAGTTGATTCATTGCAGCTACAGTAGATGGAATGCTCAGATTTGGAACAGGAGAAAAAAAGAATATAAAAAAGGGTATGCAATTTTGATAAAGCTCAAATCTGTTAAAAGAATTCAGTGTGTATAATAACTGCTTGTAGATGAATTATTACAACCAGTTTTTAATAAGTTGTTTTACCCTCAAGTTCTGTCAGTTAGTAGAGAATCATTTTAAAATGTGCATTTCATACCATTTATTTATTTTTATTTTTTAAATGGCCAGTATTAGCAATCTTTCTGAAAAGTAAAACACCACAAAACATTTTTACTGAAAATCATTTTAGCTAATAAAGAAGAAAAAAGAAAATAACAGTGCAGTACATTTTTTAAATATTTAAGTAATTTTTTTTTCAAGCAGCACAACACTTTCTTCATAACAATACTGAATCTATTGCTACTTTAGCCAAATTGTTATAATAAAAAAAAAAATCAGTCAGTTATATTTTATTTTTTGGCTATTATGGCAGTAGACTATAGACAGCAATAAGTTGGTACTATGATGATGACATTATTTTCCATACATACTCACCCATTAACTATTTTGGAAATAGCAAAGCAGTCAGAAAACATTTAATAGTGTAATCAACATACACAAAGTTCAGTTGGGTTAAAATGCAATCTAAACAAAATCACAAATTAAACTGTCAGGAGATTTATATATTTCCAAAGATTTGCTAAAAAATGAGCATACATAATGAAAAAAAAAAAAAAAAAAAAAAAAAAACAAAACTTAAGTTTTATTGTTAAAATCTTTGTTATGAGGAGAATTTTTTTTTAATAAAACTAAGATTAATTAGAAAAGCTCTTAACTGCTTTTATGAACAAGATATATTATGCAGACTATTGTTTAAAAATAAATCTTTTTCAATGAATAATGAATTTTTACAAGAATTGTTTTCATTTAAAAAAAAAATTAGAATAATTTATAAAGTTTTAAATCTTTTAAAATTTTGTATTAATTCGTACTGGTTAGGTGATATTGTTAAGGAAAAACTAAATTTACTTATAAATAATAAATACTTATAAATAAATGGAAAAGTTTATAATTGTTCACTGATCCCCAGTGTTTATAAAAAAAAAAAAAAAAAAAAAGTTTTTTTTTTGTGTGTATAAACATGCTGAATTTTTGTAAACGTGGACATCCACACACAACATTGTCAGAAAATAACAGCAGTAAAGTCAAAGTACCTAAAATTCAATAAAACATTAGATTACTTAAAATATTTAAATATTTTCCAAAATTTTAAAGATTACTGGAGAGTTAATATATATAAAACACTTACGTTATATTCAAGTAATTTTTACAGATATGTCTCCATAGAAAAAATTTGCTAAATTTGACAAATAGAGCTGTCAACACCCCCATAAAAACACCCACCAAATGGTTTTCTGCAATATTTTAAACCAAAATTAATATTTCAAATCAGATTGATTAAACTTTGAATCTGTTATTCAAATAAAGTTTCAGAAAAGTAGATTTTATTTTCCAAAGATTTTTTTTGCTGAGAGAATTGTAAATATGGCTAAAATTAGCCATTTTTAGCAAGAAAGAAAAAAAAAAACAAACAAACAAACCTCATTCTGATCAATTTAAATTAGTTTTGAAATACAGCAATATTAGCTTGAAATTAAAGCTTTTTCATTTTAAAAAATTAGTTTTAAATTTTAGGTATCACTTTTTTGGGAAATATATATATATATATATATATATATAAAATAACAATTATATAGGAAGCAGACAAAAGCAGTGCTGTAGTCATCATGGACAAGATGTACTTTGAAACAAAAATTCTAAAGGCATAAGAGGGTAAAAACAACTATGAATTAATCAACACCTACAAAAATTACAAAACTGCACAACATAATAAAATATTAAAAAAAGAAAAGGACTTCATAATAGACCGAATCAACAACAGCTCTCTTGAATTTGATAACAAAAACAACGTCCAAACCCTAGGTACTGTGATTGGAATGAAAATGGCACCAACATATAACACCCAACCTTACCTTACCTAGAGGAAAACCTTTATGAAAAGATAGAGCAAATATACGGGGGGGGGGGGACATAAAAACCCACTTTACTAAATCTTGGAAGAGATACTTAGATGATTGCTTCATCTTCTGGAAATCCTCATGGAGCAATATTAACAAATTACACAATTTACTCAAACTTACACTCAAAGATTAAATGCAACCAAAAACATAATTTTAATAAATTGCCATTCTTAAATATACTCATCAGAAATAGAAATAACCATATTATCACAGACATCTACCACAAACCTACAGACACCTAACAAGATCTTCATTTTAAGAGCCATCACCCAAAAAGCTGTCTAAAATCCATCCCCCTATTAGCTAGCACATAGTATTTGCACTATAATCGCTGACAAAGACCCCAAAAAAACCTGCCTAGAATTAAATTCTCAAAAAACGAGAATAACCCACACCACTAATAAGGTTTTGAACTAACAGAAAATTACTTTTTAGACCAACTATGAAACCCAAAGAAATGCAATGGATAAATTCTAGCATGCATTTCAACATACAAGAACAATTCAGAACTATTTACAGAAATAAAAAACCTAGACCTACTTAACAAGAATGATAAAATGAAAGATATACTAAAAATAACCAAAATAATTAAAAGCAAAGACCACTCAAAAAAACCTAAAACTCAAATAATACAAAGGGTTACAAAATGCAACAAGATGTGGGGTAAATAATATATATAATTATAGAAGGAAATTTCTACACTTTTGAAAACCCCCACAACATTCACAATAAAGAAAAACTTAAATTTTAACTCCAAAAATGTAATTTATGCACTCAGGGGCACAAAATGCAACAAATCTTATATAGGTATCACTCAAACACTAAACAACAGAGCTTCCCTACACAAAAACAACATTAAATTATAAGACAACAGAAAAATCTTTATGGTGTTTTATATTAGATGGCCAAGTCATAATGTAGTGAAGGGTCAGAACTGGAGACTGATGAGAGCAATGGGGGATTTTAGTTTTAGCTAGCTATTCCACCAGTGTTGTTGGCTTAAGAAATTCAAAGAAATTTTTCATGACATTTGGAATATTATTTGCCTTAGTTAATTGAAGTATTTATTTTGAGATGCTATATAATTTTTTTTTATGTAGACTGTAAAAACAAAGTTTTGGGCCTGTAATTTACTACACCAAAATGGTATTTAGGAATACTGATCTTCTTGTTACTTTGAATTTTAAGCTTCTTATTTAACATTCTTCACAAAGTTTATCAAGTTTCTTCCCTCAAAAAAAAAAAAATGCCCCCCACCAAAATGTTTAGAATTTTTAGACTGTTTTTACTGCAAAATTTATTTATGTAAAATTAAAATAAAATGCCATTATTTGTCAATGGTCAAAGTTATTTTAATATTATTCTTTGATATTCTTATTCATAAAAATTATTCATTGATAAAATTTAATTCCTTTATGCATAATTTGTTTTTATTTTAAACTATTTCAGTTTTCAGTTTAAAAATAAACTACCATTAAACATAAAATAGAAGCAAATGTAATACTACAAAAATGAATGGAAAAAAACATTTAAGAATGTTTTTACATAAATTTAATGATATATAATTTTTGAAATATTTAATTCAGTATTTATTTTTGATATTGTAAAGATGCTGTGAGTGTGAACGAAATGAAGCTTGCTGTTGAGTCCTTTTTCTAGGGTCTTGTAAAGTTTTTAAAAAGTATGGAAAAAAAAGTTAACTTAGTCACTGACAACACTTTTCTGTTAAAAGTTTATTCAATGTTCTTGAAAATAAAAAGAAAACAGTTACACTTCAAAAACGAATTCTTTTTTATGCCTTGTATATATGTTTCTAAAAGTTAAAAAAGCATGATTTTTTTTTAAACACATTTTCTTATTATTATTGAGTGAATTGTAATGATTTAATTATTAAAAGTAAAGAAAAAATTGACAATAATAAAAATTAATATCTAGTTTTTAACAGACGTACATCTTTTCAAAGAAGTTTTTCTACACTTGTTTTTAAATTTTATACTTCGAAATTAAAAATAAATTACCATTATTTCACAAAGTTACTTTAATATTTTTCTCTAATATTGTTGTCATTCATAAAGAACAAATGCATTCATAGACATTTTTATTAGTTGTGTTTTTCTTTAAGGCAAAATAAATATTAATGTTTAGTTTAATATTTTTAATTTTCCATTGAGGCGTAAAATAGAACCAAATGTCATTCTTATTACAAAATTAATGAAAATGCCATTTAAAAATGTTTATGTAAATTTAATGTCATAATAAAATTTAATATATTTGAATTCTAATTTCTATATTTTATTTACATGCTGCTTTGTTTTTTTTCTGGTTCTTCTAAAAAACTAATTTTTTAACTTTTTTCACAAGAATGCCAAGATTAAAGTGTACTGCAGTGGATTGCCTCACCAAAAAGCATTGTCTCAAAAACAGCCAAAGCCCTCTCCTATCAGACACCAGGCAAAAACCCCAGTCGCCCTCCCCTTTGGAGGCATTACCTGGAGGAGGAGCACCCTGGAAGAGAGCAAGGCAATAGCTGATCTTATGTTGACAAGTGCCAGAAATTTAAATACTTAACTAACTTGATAATTAATTAAAAGATTATGTAATATCTTGCAAACCTTTGTTAATATACACCAAAACCATAAAGAAAAAAAAAAAAAAAAGTGGATTCTCAGGTTTAAGGCAACCCTTAAATTTCTGTTTTTAACTTATTGGTATGGTAAAAGTTAAAGATTAAGGATTATAATTATAATTTGGCTTGAAAAGTTACCCCTAAATTGAAGCAGTAAAAGAAATAACTGTGCTTAAGGAGTTTAATCA